TGAAAATGTGTCCAATCTATGTATAAAATGGACTTAAATTGAACAATCATTGGGAAACGTGGTAAGTCATCGGTGACATCTACTGGTGAAAACTAGGTAGTGTAGAAGAAACAGCCTTTTCAGTTGTAAAAATATGGATTCACCAGTTTAGGGCTCTTTTACACCAAGTCCAGTGACCTGCGTTTTTTCTGAATACACACAGGTCACTGCAAGGACACATAGAAAACAACGGTTTTCTATGTGCCTCATTCACACAACAATGTCCTGTACATGTGCAATGCAGTGCATTGCGTTGAAATGCAACATGCAAGCTTATTTTTAAAAATTCTTTATTTGTTACATCTTATAATATATATCAGATGCATATGTAATCTCTAACCACTTACTCTCTGGAAGATTCCCCCCCCCCCCCTTCCTGACCAGGCAATTTTTTGCCATACGGCACTGTGCGCTATTTTAACTGACAATTGGTAATGCAATGCTATACACGAATGGAATTTATGTAATTTTTTCCTCCACAAATAGAACTTTATTTTATTGGAATTTGATCACCACTGGGTTTTTTTATTCTTTGCATTTTAAACAAAAAAATACTGTCAATTTTGAAAAAAAAATGTTTTTTATTTTCTGCTATAAAACCTCTCCCGCAAAAAAACCTAAGTTTAAAAATCAAATTTCTTCAAAATTTAGGGCAAAAATGTATTCTGCTACATATTTTTGGTAAAAAAAAATCCCAATAAGTGTATATTGATTAGTTTGCGCTGAAGTTATAACTTCTACAAACTATAGGATATAACCTGGATTATTTTATACAAGTAATAGCAGCGATCAGCGACTTATAGCAGGACAGTGATATTGCAGCAGACAGTCGTACACTAACTGATACTAACAGACACTTTGTGGGAACCAGTGATACTAATACAGTGATCAGTGCTAAAAATATTATTATTATTACAGGTACTTATATAGCGTTGCCAATTTACACAGCGCTTTACATATATATATTACATTCACATCAGTCCCTAACCCTCAAGGGGTGTACAATCTAAGGTCCCTAACTTACATTCATACATACACATACTAGGGCCAATTTAGACAGGAGCCAATTAACCTCCCAGCATGTCTTTGGAGTGTGGGAGGAAACTGGAGTACCCGGAGGAAACCCACACAGGCTCAGGTAGAACATGCAAACTCCAGGCAGGTGGTGCCATAGTTGGGATTTGAGCCAACAACCCTAGTACTGCCAGACGGAAGTGCTAACCACTTAGCCACTGTGCTGCCCTAAACATATGCACTGTCACTGTACTAATGACACTGGTTGGGAAGGGGTTAAACATCCAGGGTGATCAAAGGGTTAATTGTGTGCCTAGGGATTGTTTTAGTGTACTGTGTGTGCTGATTTTACTAAGGGAAGTGATGGATCTTGTACCCTTGGAAACAAGATCCATCACCCCCCCCCCCCCCCCCCGGTCTCTCACCCCCCCCCCCCCCGCATCTCTCTTTCATCCCCCCCTAGGTCTCCCTCTCACACTCCCCCAGTCTCACTCCCCCTTTCTTTCTCACCCCCCCCCCTCGGTCTCTCTCATCCCCCTTTCTTTCTCACCCCCCCCCCCTCGGTCTCTCATCCCCCTCAGTTTCCCTCTCACCCCCCTCCTGGTCTCTTTCAACCCCCCCCCCTCTGTCTTTCAACCCCTCCCTCTCTCACCTCCCTCTCTCCCCACCCACCCCCTTCTATTTCTCTGTCACCCCTCTCTGTCTCTCTCTCCCCACCCCTTTCTTTTTCTCACCCCCTCCTCTCCCACCCACCCCCTTCTGTTTCTCTCTGTCACCCCTCTCTGTCTCTCTCACCACCCCTTTCTTTCTCACCCCCTCGGTCTCACCCCCCTCGGTCTCCCTCTCACCTGCTCCTCAGTCTCTCACCCCCCCATCTCCCTCTCACCTCCCCTCGGTCTCCCTCTCACCCCCCTCTGTCTCTCTCAACCCCTCCCTCTCTTACCACTTCTCTTTCACCCCACCCTTTCTTTCTCACCTCCCCCCCAATCTCTCTCTCACCCCTTCTCTGCCCTCTGTCTCTCTTTTCACCACCCTCTGTCTCTCTCAAACCCTCCCTCTCTCACCACTTCTCTCACCCCCCTCTGTCTCTCACCCCTCTCTCTGTCTCTCCCCTCTCTCTCTGTGGTGCAGTGCAAGTACAAGTTAGGCACTAATAGGGTGCCCCACATGCACCCTATAGCCCTATAAGGCGATGCTTGTCCCTCCAACACCCCGCTCTGCATCCCTCACTTTCATTGTAGATGAATCAACAGGTTGCTGACCCAGGCCTGCACTTCCCTGGTTTTAGGTTGAGCACCACATCAGAGGGCTCCAAGGACCACATGTGGCCCATAGACCACAGGTTGAGTAGCCCTGTCTATCCTAGGTTCACACTTATGCAGATGTCGAGTCCTTAAAATGACACTAAAGCTTTGGTTTTTTCCTCTAAAATAACAAACATGTCTATACTTGCTTTGTGCAGTAATTTTGCACAGAGCAGCCCCGATCCTCTTCTTTTTGGGTCCCTGCCAGCGCTCCTGGCTCCTCCTCCTATAGTAGTGCCCCCAGGGAAAGCCATAGAGCCACGGCTTGACACTGCCATCCTCTCCCCTTATTGGCTCACTGGCTGTGATTGACAGCAGTGGAAGCCAATGGGCTCCCGTTGCTGTCTCAGCTAATGAGGAGGAAGAGTCCCCAGACAGCAGTGGCTGTCAAAAATGTCGCTGTATCAGAGGGGGCCCAGATAAGAATTGGGGGGTTCCACAGAGAAGGTTTTTTTACTTATACTTAGAATGCATGAAGGTAAAAAACCTTGTGCCTGTAGAACCACTTTAGCAACTGATGAGTCATCAGTTGTCAGCGAAACCTATTGCTGGCAATTAAAAAATACAAATCAGGAAAAGAACAGAGTGGGGGTCCCCCTCCCAGTCCATACCAGGCCCTTTGGGTCTGGTATGAATTTTAGGGTAACCCCACTGACGTACTTTATTCACTTTTTAAATTTTTATGGTGAATGAGTACTCATTTAAATAAGGGGGAGGGCTGGGTTCTGGGAGGGATGGGTTCTGGAGGCCCCCTTGTCAAAGGGGGATTCCAGATTCTGATAAGTCACCCGCTCGCAGATCCCCACAACCCTTAGCTGTGGTTGTGGGGGATCTGCGAGAGGGTGACTTGTCAGAATCTGGAATCCCCCTTTGACAAGGGGGCCCACAGAACCCGGCCCTCCCAGAACCCGGCCCTCCCCCCTTATTTGAGAATGTTGTTTACTGGTAGTTAAGGACACTGGAGGCTTCCTGCTCAATAACAACCAGCTTCCAGTCACACAAAACGCAAAATGCATAGAAAAAAGTGCTAAAAAAAAAAAGCATCAAAAACAAGTGTGAAAAAAATGTAAAATGCATTTTTTATGGTATTTCCATATAAGGGATGTGTTGCCCCATAAATCCCAGATAGCACAATATAAAGTGGTTATGATATCTTAGGAAGTAAGTTGGGTGATTAGGAGTTCCTTAATTGGTGATCACACTAAATGTACTGCAAACTATAGTTATAATCATTTTTAGCAAAGGTTTGCAGAAGCCTGAAAATATTTCATGGCTTGGCAGTGGTCTCCAAACTTCAGCCCGGGGGGGCAGATGTGGCCCTTTGCTCGCTTTTATCTGGCCCTTCAAGCACTTTTTCTCCCACTGATGCAAGAAACTATTCCTGCCACTGACACCAACAAAGGCCATAATTACTGTTAGTGACATCAGCAATGGGGCACTATTTCTCCCATTGACACCAACGATGGGGTACTATTTCACCCATTGATACCAACGATGGGGCACTCTTCCTCCCCCTAATGCCAAAGATACATTGTTTACTCCCAGTGACGGAAGTACAATTTATATTCCCAATGGCAAAAGTCTGGCCCCCCTAAAGTCTGAAGGAAAGTAAACTGGCCCTTTGTTTATAAAGTTTGGAGACCCCTGCTCTAGGGTAAAACGGATGAGAAAGGCTGATATAAATGAAAGCTGAAAACTTGGTGACTTCTAAAGAGTCAATATGAGAATACTGGTCTTTCCAGAAGTCTTTGATCCTTCAGAGCATTTAAAACCTGAAAGCTATGGATCTTTCACCAGTATCTCAAATTGTTTGCCATATACAATTAGGGGTCTATTGACTTTCATAAACATTTGCTGGTGGAAAATCAATCAGTCCTATTTAAAACACATGCACCAGGAGGGTTCTCCACCAGGTAATGTTTGTGAAAGTCACATTTGCTGCTTTATAAGGCTTCTTTTCACATGAGCGTTCCGATCAGGTCCGTTTTCCAGGCGGACCCAATAGGAACCTCCATTCTCCTCTAAGGAGCAGTGGGCGTAAATGGACATGTTTGTCCCCTCCTATATCCAATCTGATCCACTAAAAACAGACAGATGGGGATCTGTTCAACTTCCGTCCAACGGATTGGATTAGATGGCATTTGGGTGTAAATGCACAGGCAGTCCATTTACATCTGACCGCCAATAGAGGAGAGCTGGCTGTGCCCATGTCCGCTCACCTGGTCAGCTGGAATCAGCAGACAGATCCCCTGCTGAGCAAGCGGATTGCAGCCGGAGTCCGCCCCATGTGAAAGGACCAGTAGTAGACCCTCAGGTGTTAGTCTCTTCAGCTGTATCTTTTTAGTCCATATTCATGAAGCTTGCCCTTTCCAGATGGTATCTGGGCATGTGTAACCTTTAAGCATGCTGTAAGTTCAAACCCTGTTTAGGTCATATTGACCTTTGCTGCTTCCTTGTGATGAGCCTATTTTGTAGCATGGCGAAGTAATGAAAATTATTTCAGGGATTCCCTGAACATTTTTTCAATTGTTCTTTCAGGGTTAAAAAGTTGTGAAAGGCATGTATGAAGTTTCAGCAGATTCCCAGGGTAAGTCCCAACTTGGCGCTATCTAAAAAAAATTTTTTTTTGTTTTTTCTTTACAGCTTTTGACAGTAAATCCTGAACATCGCTGCTCTTGCCTTCTTGATATTCAAACATCAACATATTTAGCAGATGTTGTCTGGGAAGATATTCTGGAGAAGAAAGTGGAACCAGGTTTTGTTCCAAATGCAAGTAATTTCTTTCTATGAATATTCTCTACTATACCAGTTACGTAAATTATATGTGAGAGAGGTGAGTAGATATCGTGTAAAGATGAACACCAGGCAGATATAAAAGACAAAAACAGGCGCAGCATTGTGTTCATTAATATACTAATAAGGGTCCAATTTACTGGTCTTAAACCAGTAGGTCCAGTAAAGTCCCTATTTTAACTTGTACCTACAGGTTAGCTTACAATCAAGCTTTCCCATAGGTACAATGAAAATCTCCTAAAAAATGTGCAACGTTTAGGAGATATTCATGTTGGGCAATAGTTGATGAGGTCACCTGCACATGCGCAGTGATGCTCTGCATTCAAGGCACACAGTATGCTGCTGAATGCCGATCACTGTGCCATGGCTGGGGCTCCCATGCACATGTGCGGGAGTGATGTCATTGCAGCCCTGGCCATTCAGATGGCCAGAGTCCACGAACCCGAAAGGAAAACTTGGCGAAAATAGAGGCGCCTGGGAAGCTGTGACAATAGGATTTCCACCTCATCCCTTTAAACCCGAACACATATTAATGACACAGGTTCTGTGGTTAAGGTGGTAATTAAACTCACTTAGTGCCTTATCTGCATTAAATTAGCCTCAGAACCTGTGTCATTAATGTGTGTTCGTGTTTAAAGGGATGAGGTGGCAACCCTATGTGACAATGCTGCGCCGGAGGGCTCCGGGTGCAAGTGTGTCATAATGGTGCATACTAGAACAATATAGCTTAGACCTGCAGGGGACGCATTTTGTTTTCGGTGGTTTACTACCGCTTAAAAAAACACTGCTCTTACTGGAGATGTTTGTGTTTTGTCTGTAAAAACATCTCAATGTTATCCTATGGGGTTGATTTACTAAAACTGGAGAGTGCAAAATGTGGTGCAGCTGTGCATGGTGGCCAATCAGCTACTAAACTCAGCTTGCTCTATGAAGCTTTGACAATAAAACCCGGAAGGTTTCTGGAGACCTCTGGTGTCTATGCAGAGCTGCACCAAATATTGCATTCTCCAGTTTTAGGAAATCAACCCCATTGTGTCCATCCACATTAGGTTTTTTAGAAGCAAACAAAACCCCTTCTGGTTTGTGTTTTTGAGAGGAATTTTCTGGCAGAAAAAAATTCTAAACTTTCTTAAATGTGTGTACAAAAATAATCTATATAAGCATTTTGTTCTGCCAAGGGAACTGTCATTTTTTGAAGTTCAATGTGCCGGTTCACATATATGCGGATTGGATGTGGTTTGAACCGCATCCAATCCACATGACATGTGAAATAACATTGCTTCCTATGGTGCCTGTTCACATATGTCCGGTGTCCATGGGGGTGTGGTTTCAGTGTGGACCTGATGTAAACCTGACCTGAACCGCTGAACAACTACTGTATCCATTAGCTGTGAACCCTGAGCTTCAATCCGCACTGCACATGTGTGAATCAGCACTAGAGGAATTCACAGCGTTTTCAGTTCGAATTCTGCACCGCATCAGAATCGCACCCGTTCATGCGAACTGCTACAGGTGTGTATGTTAGGTTAACAACACCTCGAAAGCGGTCCGCAAAACGCGTGTGTGATGTGCAGAATCAGATCGCATAGGTGTGAATACCTATGCGATATGATTCTAGTGAGGATCCAGAAAAAGGGTCCTGCACCTTTTTGGTTTCGGGTGTGGTGTGATTAGAGCCATACAAAATGTATGGCTCTAATCGCACCGCATACAAATCACATGTGATGTACCGCACCGCATATATGTGAACCCAATGTCTTTTTTTTTTTTTTTTGCAGTAAGTGTGACTGGCTGAATTTGACTTGATATCAGTCCACTGTTCTCTCCTATATAGCAAAGCTCAGACTGGGAGAGGGAGAAGTAGCACAAAGAACTAGGGTGCAGGGTTCATGTACTAACATGAGTGACAGAGCAATGAACTACTACTGCTGTTTCTTCTTCACAGTCTAGACTGGCTGGTAGGAGGGACAAAACTTGTGAGTTTTACTTAAGGCTAGGTTCACACCTATGCAGGTTGCGTTTGAGCCATTTCTGCATTGCGTTTTTGCAGCATTTTTTTACGCTTTTTTCTTTCATTTTTTTAAAATTTTTCTTGTTGCTAGGCATATTTAAAATGTAAAACGCGACTAAAAACGTAGCAAAAATGCACTATTCTTTTTCTGCACCGTTTACATTGAAGTCTATAGAACCAAAAACGCAACTTTTTGTATTAAAAAAAAGTCCCTGACCCTTTCCAAAAAACGCACCAGGTGAAAATGCGCAGATGTGAACATGTCCCATAGGAAATAATGTTAAATGGACTGTACTTCGTTTCCGCGAAACGCTTAGGTGTGAACCTAGGTTAACTTCTATCGGTGTGTGACAATCTGCGCAATCCCACAGAATAATATATAGTGCCAAACATATTATGTCAAAACTATCATAACATTCCAAAGAAATGTAAATGGAGGCTGTGCTAAACACTAAAGGTTTTCCACATCCTCTAAAACAAAAAATCATAAATAAACATAATAGTGTAGCGCAACCACATAAGGCAATCATATAAACAAAGTCATATAAACAAAGTGTCCATCTTTTCTCCACGTGTGGCGGCCACATTGTCCCGGACACAGTATTATACATGATATCACAGAAGTAACAAGTGGATGAAGAACGTGTATTGGATCACCATCTGCCCCTAACGGGAAAGCGCTTGTGACTTACAGTCAGTGGTCATTAGACTGAGGTGAGAGGCCAATCCGTGTGGTGGTGGTTCCAGCACTATTGGTATTTTATATGAAGATTTAGAAGATTTCTTACATCTTGTGGATTTTTGGGACGTGTTTTAACACATGGAGAAAAGATGGACACTTTGTTTACATGATTGCCTTATGAGGTTGCGCTACACTATTATGTTTATTGATTGTTTTACTCAACTTCATCAGCAAAAAATCTTGTCTCCTTCCCTACCAAACAGAGCTACAACCCCTTTGACTGGTAAACAACTCCCATATATGTGTTCCCTCTGTGTACTGAGCTGGAGTTCAGACATAGAGAAGTAGCATATTAAGATAAGTATATGTAAAGCTAAATTTTTCTATTTAATTTTAGATAGAGTAAGGGAGAGTTTTAGCTTGGGACAATTCTGTGTACCAGGAAGGCTAGCTAGCTCCTGTGCATGCACAAAAGTGACGTCATCCCGTGCCTGCCTGGGAAGATGGCAGAAACCTGGCACACAGGAGAAGATGCTGGTGCTGGCAGGGAAGACTTGGAAATGTGAGTATCCTCCCTTTAGTTCCACTTTATTATTTTTCTTTTATATCTGCTTGGAGTTTAGCCTTAAAGTGATACTAAAGGCTTTTATTTAATCTTACCTGCTCTGTGCAAGTATATTGCACAGAGCAGTCCCATACCTCCTCTTCTGGGGTCCCCCGCCGGTACTCTCTGTTTCTCTTCTTCCCCGAGTGCCCCCATAGCAAGCCTTGTGCTATGGGCACACTCATGGGGCTGTGTGCATCCATGGACACACAGAGTGGCTCGTCCTTGCCCGCTCGCTTCTTCCTGACTGGATTTGACTGACAGCAGCTGGAACTGGAGCAGGCTCACACTGTTCTCAATGAAGTGCAGAGAGAGGAGAGAAGACTTGCAGACGGGACAACAACAGAGGACTCAGGTAATTGTTGGCGAGGGGGGGGGGGGGGTGAGTAGTGAGGGAATGCATTAAGGTAAAAAAAAAAACCAAGACTTTAGAAGCACCTTAAAGTGATTCTAAAGGTTTATTAAAAAAAAAATAATACATAACGAAGATGTCTATACTTAACTGCTGTGTGCAGTGATTTTGCACAGAGCAGCCAAGATCCTCCTCTTATCAAGTCCACCGCCAGCACTCTAGGCTCCTTCCTCCTGTCGGGTGCCCCCACAGCAAGCAGCTTGGTATGGGGGCACCTACTGCTCTGTATATCTTCACACATGAAGCCGTGGATCGACCCCACCTCCTCTCCTTATTGGCTCACTGTGATTGACAGCCAGCTTGTGATTAACAGCAGTGAGAGCCAATGGCTCCCGCTTCTGTCTCAGCCATTGGGGAGAGAGAGTCCCAGGATAGTCGAGACTCCAGTGCACATAGCTGGATTGAGAGGGGTTTAGGTGAGTATTGGGGGGGGGCTGAGGTTGATGCTGCACAGAAAAGGTGCGTTGGGTGCATGAGCCTTTAGAACCACTTTAAGCTGTCACAGCTATGACTAGGGTGGCAGTGGTTGTTTGGCATGTCCTTCTGGAACCCGAAGGGGCAGTAAAGACTTTGTTGGGGCCTCAGGCTCTATGCTGAAGCTGTCTGTTTTACTCTTTAAATACTACTATGATGGCTTATCTGGTGAGGTAGTTCTATTACTTTTATAACAAAAAGAGACATAAAAAACTCTAGTTTTCTGATAATCTTCAGCCCTCTTCTATGAGTCTCTTTATCTCTGTAGAAAGGTCGTCTGCACTGTGATCCCACATTTGAACTAGAAGAGATGATCTTAGAATCAAGACCACTCCATAAAAAGAAGAAAAGGCTGGCCAAGAACAAGTCCAGGGATAACAGTAAAGACAGTTCACAGTCTGTAAGTTTTACATATTAAACCTAAAAAAGAAATTGCGCTCAGAGAGCCTTTAAAGCAATTGGCACACCAAATGATACAAATTGTGTAACAAATAAAAATCCAAGGTGCCGCACTAATGAAAACAATAATCAAAGTGATACAAATTATAATGTATATGAATCCATATAAATACGTACTAAAATAGCAATGACAGTCCCAAGTGGTAAATGAAATTTTGATCCACATGGTCAGATGACTCTTCAGACACTGTGACACCTAAGTTATCCACCACTTAGTGCTCAATAAACAGCTTACAAGAGCCAATGGACTTAAAAAAAAAAAAAAAAGGAACCAAATGCAGTTGGTGATGCTTGACCATAGAATAGGAAGAGAGCCAAGGGAGCCAGATACTGTAAAAACCATTTATGAAATTTATTAAAGTGCACTAGCCACTTACAGTGTTAAAAGAAAAAAGCACTTATTTAGGATGAGCCAGTCCCCAGAGTCAGACAGGCCGCTTCCTATGTATGAGATGCGTGATGATGTCACAAGCATCGGCTCAACTCTACGTGTTTCGTCGCATTGGATACCATTGGGGGCAAAGAAGCTGCACTCAATCATCACGCTACATACTGTATATAGCAAAACCAACAGGGAGAAACTGGAAATGAGGCTGGAACTTGTTGCACTCCACACCTCATTTTGATTTTTACAGGGGACCAAGCCTCAATTCTGTATCCAAGTGGCCCAGAACTGGACATTAAAACTCACCATATCCAAGCATCATACTTGGATAAAGGCACAGTGAAAATTCACATACATTATGATTTGTGTCACTTGATGATTAATTATTTTGATTAGCATAGCACTTTGGATGTATATGTAGGTTTTGCATGTTTATTACTTTCATAGTATATTCATAGTCCATGGTAACAACAGTATTCATGGGCTTTGAATTATGAAGTAAGGACAGTGGCTATGGCAAATAATGATGATTATTACTGAGAAAAGAACAAAAGTAACCCTTTCACATGAGCATCATCAGTTAATTTATGCTTTTTACTAAGAAAGAACTGATGAATACTGATTCAGGTAAAATTAGTTTTCACATTAAATGTCAACAAGAAGTGCAGCCCTGAATAATAAAAAAATAAAACAATCAGCGAGCGCTTCAGAGAAGATTATTATTTTATTATTATTATTATTATTATTATTATACAGGATTTATATAGCGCCAACAGTTTGCTCAGCGCTTTACAATATAACGGGAGACAATACAGCAGCAATACAGTTCAATACAAGAGGGTTAGGAGGGCCCTGCTCCTTGGAGCTTACAATCTAGGAGGGAGGGGCTAGTGGTACAAAAGGTAGTAACTGTGGGGGATGGACTGGTAGGAGGAATAGAAGATTCCATTATTAGCTGAGAGCAGGATAGGCTTACCTGAAGAGAGAGGTTTTCAGAGATCGCCTAAAGGTGAGCAGAGTAGGCAATAGTCTGATAAATTGGGGTAGAGAGTTCCAGAGGATGGGGGAAGCTCTGGAGAAGTCCTGGAGATGAGCATGGGAAGAGGAGATAAGGGAGCTAGAGAGGAGTAGGTCATGCGAAGATAAGCTTCTAGCACTAAAAGGTGAACCAACCGAAACATATAAATTGTAAAGAAAATTGTGTAAAAAAATTCATACACTTACAAATGTTATATATCACTACATCCCACCAGATAATAAATAATTCCCCTTAACAATAATCAGTAGGATAAATGGCTAAATAAATAAATCAGTAAATGAATACACCATATTTGATGCGAAAAAGTGCCAGTGAAAAATGACAATTCATAAAATCCAATATTAAATAAAAAATCCTCCATTATCTGATAAATCAATACATTAATTCACCACTGTTTACTGCAAAAAAGTATCAGCACCAAATTACATTAATACATAAAGTCCAATACTAGATCAAAATATTCATTATAAATATTTTATGGTTAGCGTGCATCCAAACAAATAAAGTGCAATTCTTCCACCAACATGCACTCACCAGAACAAAAAGAATATGCAGCTCAAAAACAGAAACTTCCAACCGAATCAGGACCTCCTCAGCCCTCTTTCACCAATGGATAGAAGCATTAGCTGGCAGTAAGCCTCTCCGTAGGTCAAGGGAACCTTTGCTGGCAGATGATGCTGGTAGAGTCCCTACCCTGTGCCCATCTCATAATGTACTCAAAATGGTGGTAAAATTGATGGGGCAGGGTTGACTGGTGGTCTGTGCTCCCTCTTCCACTTGCTGTAAGCTGATGCTGCAAACTGGATTGTCCTCACTCTTGATCGTGGAGAGGCACTCTGGATGTTCCCTGGATCTGGCTGGTTCCGAATAGCCACAGTACGCCTGTATCTCAGGGATGAGTCAGGGAAAACAGAGTCAAGTCAGCACATTTGATGCCACCACCACCAGATGGTGTAGAGACCCTGTGGACAAGATTGTCCCATAGCTTACAGGAGAAGATCAAGGTCTCCACTGTGGGGCAGGGACTGAACATCAGTTTCACGAGAGATGTCAGAACCTTGACTTCACCCCGAGATACAGAATGCAGTCATTGATTGTGACTGTACATCAGCTACACCAGAGACATCAGAACCCTAACTCTCTACCGAGATACAGGCGTACCGTGGTCATTCAAAACCAGCCAGATCCGAGGAACATTCAGAGTGCCTCTCCATGACCAATGGGAGGAATGCCCAGCTTGCAGCATCTGCTTACAGCAATTGGAAGAGGGAGCACAAACCACCAGCCTACCCTGCCTCATCAAATTTACCACCATTAAACATCATGAGATGGACACAGGGCAGGGACTCTACCTGGATCATCTGCCAGTAAAGGTTCTCTTGACCTTCAGAGGTGCTTACTGCCAGCTAATGCTTCTATCCATTGGTGAAAGAGGTCTGCAGAGGTCCTGCTTTGGTTGGAAGTTTCTGTTTTTGAGTTGCATATTCTTTTTTGTTCTGATGAGTGCATGTTGATGAAGGAATTGCACTGAAGATCGCCTTAATTTGTTTGGATGCACGCTAACCATAAAATATTTACAATGAAGAATATCTGATCTAGTATTGGACTTTATGTATTAATGTAATTTGTCGCTGACACTTTTTGGCAGTAAAAAGTGGTGAATTAATGTATTGATTTATCAGATAATGGAGGATTTCTGATTTTAATATTGGATTTTATGAATTAATGTACTTTTGCACTGGCACTTTTTCGCATCAGATATGGTGTATTCATTTACTGATTTATTTATTTATCCATTTATCCTACTGATTATTGTTAAGGGGAATTATTTATTATCTGGTGGGATATAGTGATATATTGCATTTGTAAGTGTATGAATTGTTTGCACAATTTTTCATTGCTGCACTTCTTGTTTACATTTTGGTTGGTTCACCTTTTAGTGCTAGCAGCTTATCTTCTCTGAAGCGCTCGCTGATCGTTTTATTTTTTATTTTTCCCATTGGTCAGGATGACACCTGAATCTCACAGGAATGTGCTCCACATTCGTGTGGGATGCAGTGTGGTGCGATTTTCAGCCTATTCATTTGAATAGGCTGAATGGCACAAAAAGTAGTGCTTACACTACTTTTTAAAAATGCACCAAACCAAATCGCTTGATACTGCTGTACCATGCGATCTGCATTTGGGGTGCCAATTTGGTGTGAACTGGCCCTCAGTTTAGTTCAATTTACAGCAGTTTCCACTTCAGTTTACATCCTTTTTTGCATCTGTTTTATAGTTGTTGGTGGAAACTAACCATAGGTGATAAATGTATAATCAAAAAAAGGTTTCTTGCTTAAGGGCCCATTCACACCAGAACACGGTGCTGGAAACCCGCTCTCTGTGAGCGTTTTCCCCACCACGCTCTAAACACGCTGCAGTTGTGATCTGAAGCGGGTGTCAATGTTAATGTTGTCTCCACCAGATTGTTGGTTATGTGTTAGAGAAGACACTGGTAGCTTGTGATGAGGCAGAACTCTGTTTTACTTGTGTGGCTTAAGTTGCAAACTTACAGAACACATTTCAGCAGACATCTTGGTTTTTTTTTTGAAGAGAGGAGAGAGAGAGAGAGAACCAACAAGTTTTACACATATGCACAATTAGTAACCTTAGTGTACAGTGCCATCTACTGGTCGAGTGATATTAACACACAATACTATATAGTACATGCTGTTGTATCTCCAACATAGATCGCATGGTACAGTAGTACCATACAATCTAGTTGCTCTGCGTTTTATAAAGTAGTGCATGCATTACTTTTGCTGCGGTTCCTCCCATTCAACGAATGGGTTCAAATCGCACCACACTGAATTGCATGTGAATCAGGAAGGATGTGATTTCTGGTGTGAACCAACCCTAAGAAAGGACAGAGACTGGCCAGACGTAAACAGATGATATCCATTTACATCTGTATACATCTGTCTAAATGGAAAAGAACGCAGCCTTGTTCCATTTAAAAAAACAGACCTGAACGGACATGGATGGATACGGATGTAAATCCATCACCTGTTTACATGGCAAGCCTATAGAATAACTGTCTGTTTTTTATCCAGAAAGATGGAAAAGAGACAAAACAGAACACCTGTGCACAAGGGCGCTAAAAGTGAACTTTGTCCAATAATTCTTACATTTTTCCAATTAAAAGCAATTAGAAAAATGGGAGAAAGCTGTGAGAATCTTGCGTGAAAACCTTTAAGGCTGTTTCAGACTTGTGGTACCCTCTGAAGAGCGATCCACACCTGGATCAATTTTCAGGGGGCATTTGACAGGCAGCAAGGAGACATTATCTTGCCTCCTCACCACCTGATTCAACCCTGTGATGCTTCACAACCTTACCGCAACTGAGTGCGTTTCACAAGGTTGCTGTTTGGCCCCTATTAAACTCAACGGGCGAGTTTCACAAGCGGTGTCCTTTGCCGTGGCCTTGAGGTAAAGCAGCACGGCTGCTGCTTGTGTGCAGCCTGTCTGGCTGTATTGTGACATTTTGGGTGAGTGG